ATTAGCCTTCTGTATACATCTTGAATAAATCTCTACATGCTTTAAGTATCATCGCTGACTAACACCATACAGTGTATGAAAATATTGGTATATTGGTTGTCGCAGATTTGACAGATTTTCTGTTATCACGTATGCATGTATAAAAGAGGGAAATAAGAATAAATTATGTTTAAGAAGCGCCAATGGACTTCTGAAATGATTGTAGAAAAATGTCATAATGCGTTAATATAAATTAAATTCGAACAAAATATATAAGCATTTGGAACTTGTTGCAATTTGAAAAAATTTATTATTTTATTATTATTTTTAAAAGTTTAGAAAAAAGAAAAAAGTTTTATGTTGTAAAATTTCACCTGATGGCGTCAATTTAATGCTTGAATAAATTTTTTTGCTATTTGTTAATCTCTCATAAGCATTAAAAGAGTCAACGGTGATATTTCGAAAGAGGGATATAATAAACGAGTGTATAAACAATATACACCATATCCTAGATAAAGGTGGCATGCGAGACTATACTGGAGTAGTCATGCAAGATTTTTGCAACGCATCGATAATGCACAGAATATGTCTAAGCTTAATGATATTAATAAGCATCTGGCATTTTCTGCCATTATTGGCTACGTTATGACGGAACTGTGCAGCGCACACTGAACCGAGAATTGGTTACGTAATTCTGAGCAACAGAAATCATGCTTAAATGCAGCTATTTCTACAAAAATTTCCATTGTTGAGAGATTATTAGAAAAGCCGATTCTGATAGCATAAAAGCAGATTATGATAGTATGATAGCATATCATCTTTTTGCAAGATTTCTAAATAAGTTCATTTCATTTAAGATTTCTAAGTAAGTTCAAGTTCATTTAAATAAGTTAGAAATGTTAAATGAATACCAGCTAACTATAACGAAAACTTATAAAATATACATGATAGAAGGTAGGCAGATAGTACCTCTACCATTATTAGCTATTTAGCTATGTAAGATTAAATAATAGCCCGTGAACAATGTGCACCTGCATGCAGATACGCGATGCGCACTATGCATCGCAATGGCTTTACCAATGATTTCGCTGAATAAAAGCAATAATTCCTAGGTGCAGGTATACGGGCAAGATTTCCGACTATTTCTAAGAACTTACTAGGCAAATGACTTACACATGCACAGGCAAATGAGAGGAAATCTGTAAACGTGCATGTAAATTATTTCTGCATTTCGTCTTCTCCTCGATTAAATTACAAAATTACAAAATTAAAATCAAAAATTTAATCATTTGGCTGCATTTGACTTAACGCCACTTTTTTAAGATACATTAAACAAGTGATCGTGTATTTGGCCGCCACCATATTTTAAAAAATATTGAATATTTAAAAAGATAACTGTCATATTCCAATACGAGAATTTTATTGAAACCATTAAATTTTGCATTTTTTTGGAATAAATAAAATTATAATGAAAATGAAGCGCGATTTTATTAAAACCAATTTTACGGGGAACAATAGCCACAAGTTAATCGGCATTTAATTCTCATCTCACGTGCAAAAGGTTCTATTCTGCATACGGATCTATAATCAGAACATCTTTGTTCGTCTCGGCAAGTTGGTCGTACTGCTGTTCCATTTCCATTTTGGTTTGCTGAAACGTATAAATTATCACAGTAAGGTCAATTCAAGGTCAATTCAATTTCAATCGCAGTGAGTTGAATATATTGAAATATAAGAAAATAAAATATAAGATCTTAGGTCTTAAATAAATGTTACGGGGCTCATTCGTTCTCTTTGATATGGGCCCACCGAAAATTTAAAACAATAGCTTATTTCACGACTATAGAGGCATTTGCTATTCCAAATATCATCAGATTATGAAAACATTGAGGCATACAAATTATTTAAACTCATTTCTTCGTTTTCTAGATAATTATCTAGTAAAATTTATGAGCTAACCTAAGCACGTATTCAATCTGCACGTTTTTTGACAAGAATTCTTCGCCTTGTCATCGGTGCAAATTACGGCTGCCAACGCGTTGCATACATCATCGCCAAGTGTGTTTGGGCACATACCATTTGCTCCCGGTTGGTCGCAAAGACCGCATTTCTGCGGGCATCGCCTTAGTGATATATCAGTAAGCGATGGATTTCTGCACATATCCAACGTAAAAGCTTCACATTGCGCGCCTCCTTCTGTAATGAATGAAGAAGGAAAAAAAAAACTTTTTCATCTCACAAAAATATCAATAAAATTTATATAAATATATTTACATTTATATATTTATATATAAATATATTTATATAAATATATAATAATTATTAAAAAAATAATTTAAGACTTAATTTAACTTAAATTCATTTTAACTTTTTTAAACTTTTAAGCATTTGCTTACCATTAACACAATTATATTGTTTTGTCATACAGCAAAATGCACAACGACTTGGACAGGTCTTTTGAGCAAAACTTTTCAATGCTGCATCCGTGCATGATGCAGGTATCAGATAGTCCGTGTTCCTAAACTAATCAGTGTATTTTCTAAATGTCTTTTTTTGCATATTCAAAAATATAACTCCCTAACGAGATTCGAGACCTAAAAAAGACGATTCTTACGGGTTCGAGTGAGATTGGATTGTTGCAGCAATACCATCTGCACCTGCTGGCATTCCTTTGATTTCAAATATTGCATTGCAAGCAGGTGTGTCGATATGTGCACAAAGTTGCGGATCGACAGTTGGTCGTTGGCGAATCATTCCTGCATTTGGAACTCCTTTATTGCATTCAGCTATTGGCACGTCGTTACCGCCTTTTACGCCATGAAGGAGACAAACAATCCAATAAAAATGGAACAGCATTTTGGGAGAAAAAAATTCTAGAATGAGGTGTTAGCGCATCACACATACTTTTATGTACATTTCATTTCCTTTGTTGGAATATGTGTGGTTGCCTTTACCTTTATGAGATCCATTATTTCTATCAGTTATTATTATTTGTTCATCAGCGATGCCATTTATAGTATCGTTTCGTACTTCGAATTTATTTTGATTAATTCTCACAGTTCGTTATCATCCACCGTTTAGGCAAATTTCCTTTTCCATTTATAATCGGCTGTGAACGAAACATTGTACTCAAATAAAAAGCTGGAATATCTGCTTGTCTTCCCGGATAGCTGTCTTCTCTTTCTCTTTTTCTAAAAGCCAGGGGTACTCGTGCATAATATTCGCCACATATCGCAAGCATCCACCGTTTAGGCAAATTATATTAATTTCCTTTTCCATTTATAATCGGCTGTGAACGAAACATTGTACTCAAATAAAAAGCTGGAATATCTGCTTGTCTTCCCGGATAGCTGTCTTCTCTTTCTCTTTTTCTAAAAGCCAGGGGTACTCGTGCATAATATTCGCCACATATCGCAAGATCACATATGCGATCAAAATCCTTCACAATCCTTTTTCATAATCCTATCAATTCGCTTCTTGACTGGACGCTCATCGCTTTCGACGCCATTCACCAGAATATTTGTTTTTAGCACAATTTACAACCAAAGAAGCATCTCATGTAAATAATTATTTTTTTCATATTACATTCAGAATTTCAATTCTCACTTCACTTCAACTCGAGCTGCCTTATAAACTACGAAAAAAAAAATTTAAAACCATGTCTCAATATATTTCAATAGTTTTGCTAATAACGAAAATTATTATTCGAATTTTTTCTAATAAAACTATAAAAATAATAAATTCGAAGTTTGTTTTCTAATTGCCAAAAAGTTAAATTTTCGCCGATATTTATGAATTTTTTTTTCTGACTTTTCACATTACAAGACTGCAAAAAGAGAACAGCGAAAATATATTAAATGATTTTTATTTATTATTATTATCTTTTTTATTATTATTTTTGTTTTTTGTTTAACATTTTTTCTTTTTATTATTATCACTTTTTTCACTGTTTCACTTTTTCTAAAATTATTGTACGGGTTATTAAATTGCTGTTATATTGCTATTGTTATTATTATTATTATTATTATTATTACTATTATTATTATTATTATTATTATTAATATTATTAATTTTATTATTATTAATAGCTTAAACGCTTAAATTAGTTTTTTCTACATTTTAATGATTAAATGAACAAATATCCAATAGTTCATTTTTTGAATGGCGATTCGAATCAAATTAGATCAAATTGCGATTAGAAAAAATTTAATAACTATGCCATTAGCCTTCTGTATACATCTTGAATAAATCTCTACATGCTTTAAGGATCATCGCTGACTAATACCATGCAGCGTATGAAAATATTGGCATGTTTTAAGGACCATCGCTGACTAACACCATACAGCGTATGAAAATATTGGTATGTTTTAAGGACCATCGTTGACTAATACCATACAGCGTATGAAAATATTGGTATATTGGTTGTCGCAGATTTGACAGATTTTCTGTTATCATGTAATTGGAATCGAATAACATCTATTAAGATTTGTTAGAAATCCGCCGCAAACAACATCGCAATATTTGAAATGAATGGTGCTCTAAAACGAATGGGCAAGATTCGTGAGTAGAAACAACCACATTATTGCACCATAATGCAAGCTTGTTGGCCTTCTGCCGCGAAGACCACATCGGTCTTTTTTAATAATTTCTTCAATCACAGTTGAATTAATAATTGGTAATTTTAATTTTTTGAACCAATCGTTTGTAAAGCCGTAGAAAATATTATGGAAAATGACAACAAATTCATATTTTTACCAAATACATAATTAAATTAATGCGCAATTAATTAATTAATACGTAAAAATTAATTAAAAATTAATACGACAAATTATCGCGAACACTTTTTTTAGAAATCTTTTTCTATGAAATATTGAAAAATAAAGAAAAAATTAAAAAAATTAAATTAAAATTAAAAAATATGCAAAAAAAATTTCTAAAAGAATCTTAGAAAATTCTAAAAAAGCGTGAAAAGCGAAAAAAAGTTCGAAATAGTCGTTATTTTATATACTTTCCATTTTATAATATTGATCAAATATAATCAAAATAAATTATTTAAGTTCGCTATAAGTGGAAATTTAAAAAATTCGCTTTTATAAAAATTCCTATTTTAATAAAAATTTTAATTTTGAATAAGAATTAATTTAATGAAAAGACTGATCAATTTTCCTCAATTCGCCATGATAAAATGATAAGAGTAATGAATGATAAGCGAAGCAAATTATAGTATATTTTTTTTTGGTTATTGATGCAGTGAGCTCGTTATGCTTTCGATCCTTTCAATTGAAATATCTTTTGCCGTGAAACTGGCGAATTCAGAAATGGAACTACTCGAGGAAAATCATCAATATTTTTATTAAATTGCTTTATTCCTCACGAACGCCATGGACTAATGAAATGCATAATTTATATTGAAAATTGCATATTGCAAATTGCATTTTTAAGAAATATTCATTTTTATAGATTCTGCGGATTCCGCTGCGCAATCGAAAATGGTCTAAAAGATTGCCAATTGCCTAAAAACTGCCAAAAAACTGAAAAAGTGCTTGAATAAAGCAAATAGAAATTATTTCTCAGATTTGATTACGAGAGAATAAAAATGTTGCTTAATGACTTGTAAATCAGGATGTATTCAACCATTAAAAGTTCCAGGTAAGTATAACCAAAAAAATTTACCGCAAATTCAATAAATTATTTCATTTCTTAGAGAATTTTAGCGAGTTTTGAGAATTTATTTCAAAAATGGTCATTTTGGTTGACTTTATTTTTTTCTTATCAATCATTTTTAATTCTATAGTGCTTGAATAAAGCAAATAGAAATTATTTCTCAGATTTGATTACGAGAGAATAAAAATAAATGTTGCTTAATGACTTGTAAATCAGGATGTATTCAACCATTAAAAGTTCCAGGTAAGTATAACCAAAAAAATTTACCGCAAATTCATTAAATTGCTTCATTTCTTAGAGAATTTCAGCGAGTTTTGAGAATTTATTTCAAAAATGGTAATTTTGGCAGATTTTATTTTTTTCTTATCAATCATTTTTAATTTTATCATTTATCAATTCTTAACAATTTTTCGGCAAATTAAAGGATTAATTTATTACCAATCAAGTTAAACCGATATCCGAAATTTTTGAGTTGTAAAAAAGAACAAATGTTTTATTGATTGGTAGTCTTATTATTTTTAATTATATCTCCCTTTTGCGAACATCTCATTAGATTAATTAATCTATGTAAAAAATAATAAGAAAAAAAAATTAAAATTTTATCAGTCGTTATCAGCTTATTAGGGTTCGTGTAAAATTTTTATTCTCGGATTATTTATTATTTATTCTAAAAAATGTTTTCGAAAATTATAAATTGAACAGTGATAAGACCTCTATTTTTACAGTATTTAATTCTAATTTTCAGAACACTAGTCGAATGATCGATAATATGCTAGAAGCAAATGGAACTTTTCTCTTGCTTATGCCGTTAATCATGATTTCTGATTCCTGAATTTGTCTTTGTGGATCTATAAATTATGAAGTAGCGTCCAAAAAATGCTATTAATGAGAGGTGAATTGGTTATATAATATTTGTTAGCTATCGGTGGAGTTTTAGTTTCTTTTTCCAAACAAGCAAGCAGTTTTGTACAGTCTCTAAAATTGAGTCTTTAAAGATTAAATATTATTTCATTGTGTGTTTCAGTGGGATTATTCAATAAATCCAGCGCAAACATACCATTTACCAATTTTAGAATAGAAATGAATGTATAGAATGGGACTATTGTGGGTTACATTCTCCCTTAGTATTTCTGCTTTAGATGGATTACCTGAGTGATTTTGACCCATAAGTTTACCGAACCATCACGTGTGTGGAACTCTCACTCCATGGCATTAATACAGTGCAAACAGTGCATTAATACAAACCATTCATCGTTAGCGCAAGCTATGTATATTTTTGCGATTATACTTTTAACCAATTTTACCAATTAACCAATTAACCAATTTTACGGGGAATTTTTTTAGTTAATCGGCATTTAATTCTCATCTCACGTGCAAAAGGTTCTATTCTGCATACGGATCTATAATCAGAACATCTTTGTTCGTCTCGGCAAGTTGGTCGCGCAATTGTCTCATTTTGATTTCCTGAAATCTTGATTTTTAATTTCTTGATTTACAAAAATCTTAATAAGATTTGAGTTGCATAAATGTTGAAATAATAAAGTTTTAAATAAATACTATAAGAGCCATGTTTGCTCCTTAACATTAGCATTATATTGCTGAAAATAAGATAGGAGACAAACTGAATTCCATAATCTATGAATTTATGAGTTTATTAAATATTTCGTACTATTGCCATGACAGCACCATCTGAAAGAAAAATCTGACTTACTCTTCATAATCTACGTTCCTGAATTACTCTTTATATTCAAATTTTTCCATATTAAAAGATATAGCATCTAAGACTGGGATCTGAGATCCAAAGAAAATTTAATACTTACGGGTTTGAATGAGATTGGATTGTTGCAGCAATACCGTCTGCATCAACAGGTCTTCCCTTTATATCAAATATTGCATCGCAGGCAGGTGTGTCCCTACGTGCACAAAGTTGTGGATCGACAGTCGGTCGCTGACGAACGTCTCTTCCCACTGTAACCTGTTTATTACAGTGAGGAATTGGCACATCTTCACCTCCTTTCGCACCACGAACGAGGCTAATAATCGATAAGAAATGGAAGAGCATTTCGAAAAAAAAGATTTTCGAATGAGATTTTAGCGCATTACCAATGCTTTTATGCCATTTCACTCTTTTTGTTGGAAGATTTGTGGTTAGATTTACCTTCACAAAATCTATTATTTCGGCAGTTATTATTTGCTCATCAGCGATACCATTCATACTTCGTACTTCGAATTTATTTTATTTCTCGCTTATCAATTTTTTTCAAATTTTTGTATTTTCTTTATTTACAATTTTAAAACGATTCTGAATGATGCATTACGGTATCAATTCGAAAAAAAAAATCTGGCATCTGCGGCTTATC